ACAGGAGGGAACGGGAGGGACACAGGGACAGAGGGGGACAAGGGGATGGGGGGGACAGGGGGGGACACAGAAGAATGTGGGGACAGGGGGACAAGGGGACAGGGAACAGCAAGGACAGAGGGGGACACGGGGACAGGGGGACAGGAGGGGACAGAGGGGACATAGGGAACACAGGGACAGGAGGGGACAGGAGGGGACACAGAGGGATGTGGGGACACAGGGGACATAGAGACACAGGGGACACGGGAGACACAGGGACAGGAGGGGACACAGAGGGATGTGGGGACAGGGGGACATGGGGGACACAGGGACAGAGTGGGACAGGGGCAGACGGGGGGGACATAGGGACAGGAGGGAACGGGAGGGACACAGGGACGGGGGGGACACAGAGGGATGTGGGGACACAGGAACAACAGGGGGACACGAGGACAGGGAGGACATGGGGACAGGTGTGGACAGACAGAAGGACAAAGGCACACACAGGTTCAGGGGGATGTACACAGGTTCAGGCACCGGGGGGGACACGGGGACAGGAGGGGACACAGAGCGACAGGGGGGACACAGAGGGCCAGGAGGGGCCAGGCAGATCAGGACAAGGAAAGCACACACGGAGAAGGAGAGCAGTGAGGATGATGAGGCTGAAGCAGAGGAAGGGCAGGGCCTGTCCCCTCCTGTCCCCTCTGTCCCCCACTCACTGAAGGTGGGCTCCAGGCGGATGCACTCCTCACAGTCCTGCGGGGGGACAAAGGGGGTGTCAGGGGGGTCCCAGAGCCCCCCAGTGTCCCTGACAACAACCCCAGTACCCCCTCTGTGCCCCCAAAGAAGCCCCCCAGTGTCCCTTGTCCCCAAACCCAGCCCCACAGTGTCCTCTGTCCCCAAACCCAGCCCTCCCGGCCCCTCTGTGCTCCCAAAGCACCCCAAGACTCTCAAACCAACCCTAACACCCTCCCCAAACTGGTCCCCACCCCAGGACCCCCAAAATTAACCCCAAATCAGCCCCCAGACCCCCAAATCAACACCCAGGACCCTCTTACAGCACTCACACCACTCCAAGACCCTCCAAACCAATCCCAAACCCCCCAAACCACCCCAAGACCCCCCAAACTAACCCTCAGGACCCTCAAACCAGTTCCAAAGCTCCCAAACCAGCCCCCAGAACACTCAAATGCAGTCCCAAACCCACCAAACCACCTCAAGACCCCCCAGACCAACCCCCAGGACCCTCCAAACCAATCCCAAATCCCCCAACCAACACCCAGGACCCTCTAAACCAGTCCCAAACCCACCAAACCACCTCAAGACCCCCCAGACCAACCCCCAGGACCCTCCAAACCAACCCTCAGAACCCTCTAAACCAGTCCCAAACCACCCCGAGACCCCTCAAACCAACCCCCAGGACCCTCAAACACAGTCCCAAACCCACCAAACCACCCCAAGACCCCTCCAAACCAATCCCAAAGCCCCCAAACCAACCCCCAGGACCCCCAAACCACCCCCCAGGCCCCCCGAGGGCAGCCCCAGACCTTGAGGGCCAGGGGGAACTCGAGCAGTTTGGTGTAGCAGGCGGCGCGGTTGCTGTAGAGCCGCGCCTCGTGCGGGTTGCGCCGGATGGCCTCGCTGTAGTGCTTCATGGCCTGGGGGTAATCCCCTAAAAAAGACCCCCTCCTCACTCTCAGGAGGTGCCCCAAACCCCTCAAAGCCCCCTCAGAGACCCCAGACCCCTGAGAGCCCCCCAGACCTCGCTGGAAGCACTCGTTGCCTTTGTTCTTCTCCTCCAGCGCCAGGTCGGGGTCGATGTAGGCCAAGCGCTCCTGCTCCTTCAGGATCTTCTCAGCCTGCAGCAGGGATTGGGGGGTTCAGGGGGGCCCAGGGGGGTCACCCCCAGCGTCCCCGTGTCCCCCACGTCACCTGCTGACACTTCTTGAGCACGTCGGGCGTGCGGTGCTCGGCCAGGGATTTGTTGTAGAAGTGCACGGCGTCCTTGTAGCGCTCCTCGCGGAAATACGAGTTCCCGATCCGTGCGTACGCCCTGGGGGCACAGCCACGGTTTGGGGGGGACAGGGACGGTTTGGGGGGACAGCAGAGACCCCCCCCAGACACCCCAAAGCCCCCCAGACTCACTTGGCAATCTGCCTGTAATCCTCGCGGTTCTCCCGGCCCACCTCGATGGCGCGCTCGCACAGCGCCCGGCACCGCTCGTACTCGCCCGTCTCGAAGTACACGGCTGTGAGGGAGGGGGAAATTTGGGGTTCAGGGGGGTTTGGGGGTTCGGGGGGGATGGTTCTGGGGGGGTTTAGGGTGGCAAACCTGCTTGGTTGGTGACGTAGGTCATGTTGGTGGGGTCCAGCTGCTCGGCGCGGGTGTAGTGCTCCAGCGCCGCCGGGAACTCCTTGCGCTTGTAGGCGGCGTTGCCCAGCTCCTTCTCCTTCTGTGCCTGGAAGGAACCCCAAAAACGGCTGGAATCACCCCAAAATTACACACCCAAATCCTCCCACCATCACCCAGCTCCTTCTCCTTCTGTGCCTGAAAGGAACCCCAAAATTGGATGGAATCACCCCAAAATTACACACCCAGATCCTCCCACCATCACCCAGCTCCTTCTCCTTCTGTGCCTGAAAGGAACCCCAAAAACGGCTGGAATCACCCCAAAATTACACACCCAAATCCTCCCACCATCACCCAGCTCCTTCTGTGCCTGAAAGGAACCCCAAAACTGGCTGGAATCACCCCAAAATTTCACACCCAGATCCTCCCACCATGACCCAGCTCCTTCTTCCTCTGTGCCTGGGGGAGGAAACCCCAAAACCAGCTGGAATCACCCCACATTTCACACCCAGATCCTCCCACCGTGACCCAATTCCTTCTCCTTCTGTACCTGAGGGAACCCCTAAAATTGCTGGAATCCCCCCAAATTTCACACCCAGATCTTTCCATCATGACCCAGCTCCTTCTCCCGCTGTGGAGTTCACCCTAAATCTGGCCCCTCACCCCAAAACCTGCCTGAGACCCTCCCCAAATCCCAGCTCCTCCTCCAGCACCCCAAAACCTGCCCTAGAGCCCCCCCAAATTCCCCTCGACCCCCCCAAAACTCCCCCCAGCCCAGCCCGGGGTCTCCTCCCGCTGCTCCTCAGGTGTGCAGGGCACCCCCAAACCCGTTTTGGGGACCCCCCCTCACCTCCTGCTTGTTCTGGGGGAGCTCCTCGGCCGGGGGGGGCTGGCCCTCACTGACGCCCCCAGCTGCCCGGGGTCGCTGCGCAGCGTCTCCAGCAGCCGCCGGTACTCGGGGTCCCCCAGCAGCCCCCGCGTCCGGGGGTCGGCCTCGAGCCGCGCCAGCAGGTCGGGGGCACTGAAGGGGTTCAGCAGCTTCCGCTCTGCAACGGGGTCACACGGGGCAGGCACCCCAAAATCCCTCTCAGGAGTTCAAAAATCCTGCTCTGGACAGCCCGAATTCGCACTTCTCCACCTCCCCGGCACCCTGAAATTCTCCGGGCCACCCAAAATCTTCCAGGGTCGCTCAAAACCTCTTTGAGCCACCCAAAATCCTTCAGGGACACCCAAAATCTCTTCAGGCCACTCAAAACCTTTCAGGGACACCCAAAATCTCTCCAGGGACATCCAGAAATTCTCCAGGTCACCCAAAACTTTTCAGGGCCACTGAAAACTTCTCCAGGGACACCCAAAATCTTCCAGGGTCGCTCAAAACCTCTTCAAGCCACCCAAAATCTTTCAGGGACACCCAAAATCTCTTCACGCCACTCAAAACCTCTCCAGAGCCACGCAAAACTTCTCCAGGCCACTCAGAACCTCTTCAGGTCACTCAAAAATCTTTCAGGGACACCAAAAACTCCCCGGGTCACCCGAAACCTCTTCAGGGTCACTCAAAACCTCTTGGAGCCACCCAAAATCTTTCAGGGACACCCAAAATCTCTCCAGGGACACCCAGAAGTTCTCCAGGCCACCCAAAACTTTTCAGGGCCACTGAAAACTTCTCCAGGGACACCCAAAGTCTTCCAGGGCCACCCAAAACCTTCCAGGGCCACCCAAAATCTCTTCAGGCCATTCAAAATATTTCAGGGACACTCAAAATCTCTCTAGGGACACCCAGAAGTTCTCTAGGCCACCCAAAACCTTCCGGGGCCACCCAAACTTCTTCAGGCCATCCAAAACCTCTTCAGGCCATTCAAACTTTTTCAGGGCCACCAAAAATCTCTTCAGGCCACTCAAAATCCTTCAGGGACATACAAAATAGGACACCCAAAATCTTCCAGGGCCACCCAAACTTCTCCGGGCCACCCAAAACCTTCCAGGGCGACCCAAAATCTCTTCAGGCCATTCGAAATATTCCAGGGACACTCAAAATCTCTCCAGGGACACCCAGAAGTTCTCTAGGCCACCCAAAACCTTCCGGGGCCACCCAAACTTCTTCAGGCCATCCAAAACCTCTTCAGGCCATTCAAACTTTTTCAGGGCCACCAAAAATCTCTTCAGGCCACTCAAAATCCTTCAGGGACATACAAAATCTCTCCAGGGACACCCAAAACTTCTCCAGGCCACCCAAAACCTTTCAGGAATACCCAAAACCTCTTTAAGCCACCCAAATCCTTTCATAGACACCCAAAACCTCTCCAGGGACACCCAAAACCTTTCAAGGACACTCAAAACCTTTTCAGGGACACCCAAAATCTCTCCAGGGCCACTCAAAACCTCTCCAGACCATTCAAAATCTTTCAGGGACACCCCAAACCTTTCAGAGACACTCCAAACCCTTCAGGGACACCCCAAACCTGTTCAAAGACGCCCAAAACTTCTCCAGGCCACTCAAAACTTCTTCAAGGACGCCCAAAACCTTTCAGGGCCACCCAAACTTCTCTAGGCCGCTCAAAATCTTTCAGGGACACCCAAAACCTCTGCAAACCACCCAAAACTTCTCCAGACCACCCAAAACCTTCCAGAACCACCCAAAACCTCTCAAGACCACCCAAAAACCTTTCAGAGCCACCCAAAACTCCCCTGGCACCCTGAAACTCTCTGGGCCACCCAAAACCTTTCAGGGCCACCCCAAACCCACCCCAGGAGCTCCCCCAGAGCCCCCCTACCCGCCAGCCTGGTCTCCACGCCGCGCAGGCCCTGCAGGAGCTGCTCGTTGCCCGGGTCCCGGGCCAGCCCCTCCTCGTAGGTGGCCTTGGCCTCCTCCAGGCGCTGCAGGAACTCCAGAGCCGCCGCCTTCCGCGAGTAGCCCTGGGGACACGGGGGGACAGCGGGGCACGGCCCTGAGCTGGCCTCCCAGGGACACCCAGAAGTTCTCCAGGCCACCCAAAATCTTTCACGGCCACTCAGAACCTCTCCAGGCCACTTAAAACCTTTCAGGGACACCCAGAACCTCTCCAGGCCACCCAAAACTTCTCAGGGACACCCAGAAGTTCTCCAGACAGCGGGGCACAGAGGGTCACAGCGCTGAGCCGGCCTCCGTGGGGCGGGGACCCCCGTCCTGACCCCTCCCACCACGGCCAGACCCCGACCTTGATCCCTCCCCACCATGGCCAGACCCTCCCCTGACCCCTCCCCACCACGGCCAGACCCCCGTCCTGACCCCTCCCCACCATGGCCAGACCAAACTTCTCAGGGACACCCAGAAGTTCTCCAGGCCACTCAAAACTTCTCAAGGACACCCAGAAGTTCTCCAGGCCACCCAAAACCTCTCCAGACCACTCAAAACCTTTCAGGGACACTCAAAATTTTTCCAGCAACACCCAAAACCTCTCCAGGCTGCTCAAAATTTTTCAGGAAGACTCAAAATCTCTCAGGGACACCAAAAATCTCTTCAAGCCACTCAAAACCTTTCAGGGACACCCAAAACTTCTCCAGGGACACCCAAAACCCTCCAGGGTCACCCCAAACCCATCCCAGGGCACTCCCCTAGCCCCCCAGAGCCCTTCTGTACTTGAGGGTCCTGTGGGGCGGGGACCCCCACCCTGACCCCTCCCCACCATGGTCAGATCCCCACCCTGACCTTCCACGGCATCCCCCATGGTCAGACCCCCTGAGACCCCCCAGTCCTGCCCCTAACCCTNNNNAGGCCCCCCCGTCCCCCCGAGCCCCCAGCCCACCTTGGCCCAGTCGGGCCGCAGCTCCAGCGTGCGGCAGGCATCGGCCAGGGCCCGCCCGTAGTCGCCCAGGCGCGCGTAGGCGGCCGAGCGGTTGCTGAACAGGACGTGGTTGTTGGGGTCCCGCGCGATGGCGGCCGAGTAGTGTCCCACGGCCGCCCCCACGTCCCCCGCCGCCAGAGCCCGGTTCCCCCGCTCCTTCAGCTCCTGAGCCTGCGGGACGGGGAGCGGGGACGGAGCGGGGAACGGGAGAGGGGACGGGAGAGGGGACGGGAGAGGGAACAGAGCGGGGAACGGGAGAGGGGACGGAGCGGGGAACGGGAGAGGGGACGGAGCGGGGAACGGGGACGGGACAGGGAGCGGGAACGGGAGAGGGAACGGAGCGGGGAACGGGAGAGGGAACGGGACAGGGGACGGGAACGGAGCGGGGAACGGGAATGGAAAGGGAACGGGGACAGGGACGGGACGGGGAACGGGAGAGGGAACGGGGACAGGACGGGGAACGGGAGAGGGGACGGAGCGGGGAACGGGAGAGGGGACGGGAGAGGGAACGGGGACGGGAGAGAAAATGGAGCGAAACAGGCAACGGGAACGGGAGAGGGAATGGAGAGGGAACGGGAGAGGGAACGGAGCGGGACAGGGAACGGGGACAGGACGGGGAACGGGACAGGGAACGGAGCGGGAATGGGACAGGGAACGGGAACGGAGAGGGACGGGGAACGGGACAGGGAATGGGGACGGGAGAGGGAATGGAGAGGGAACGGGAGAGGGAACGGGAATGGGGACGGAGCGGGAAGACAAGAGGGAATGGGAACGGGAGAGGGAACGAGACAGGGAAGAGGAACGGGAGACAGAATGAAGGGAGAGGGAACGGGAGAACGGAGCAGGAACGGAGCGGGAACGGGACAGGGAATGGAGCGAGACCGGGACCGAGCGGGAAAGGGAGACAGAACGGGACGAGGAACGAGAATGGGACAGGGAACGGGACGGTGAACGGAGCGGGAGAGGGAACGGGACCGAGCGGGAATGGGACAGGGAACGGGAGAGAGAACAGGACAGGGAACGGGAACCGAGCGAGAACAGGAGAGGGAACGGGAGAGAGAGAGAGGGAACGGGGACAGGGGGCACGGGAACGGGAGAGAGAGAGGGTGAGGAAGAGGAGGCACGGGACAGGGGAGAGGGAGAACAGGTTGGGGAAGGGGGAGACGAGGAAGAGGCAAGGGGACGGGGAGAGGAGGCACAGGAACGGGAAGGGAGGAGAAAGAGCAGGAACGGGGAGAAGGAGAGGAAGAGAAGGCAAGGGGACAGGGAGGGATGATGATGAAGGAAAAGAGGGGAAAGGGACGGAGAGAGAACAGCGAAGGGCCGGGAGCAGCAAGGTGCGAGGAAGATGAGGAGGACGAAGATGTCAGGAAGGCGAGAAGGATGAAGGCGTGAGGGAGACGAGAATGAAAGTGTGAGGAAGGTGACGATTATGAATGTGCGAGGAAGATGAAGACGAGGAGGATGAAGAGGCACGGGAGAGCAAGTGGCAGGAAGAGAGAGAAGAGCGACAGCAACGAGGGGCGTGAGCAAGGCCGGAAGGATGAAGATGAGGGAGGTGAAGATGAAGGAGAAACGAAGAGGAGAGAAGGAAAAAGAACAAGAACGTGAGGAAGGAGGCGCTTCCCTGAGACCTCAGACACCTCAGCTCCCCGAGACCCCCAGACAAGGCCAAACCCCCCGAGCCCCCTCAGGGCCCCGCCATCCCCTCAGAGCGCCCGGAGGCCGGCAGCGACCCCCGAGCCCCGCTGGGAGCCGGCCCCGCTCCGGCAGCGCCCGCAGCCCGCGCTCCCGCCTTCCCATTGGCTGTCGCGCGCAGCGGGGCGCGCCCTCTAACCAGAGCCGCCCACCCCCGGCGGAAGCCGGCATCGCGGCCCGCCCCCGCGCGCTCCCATTGGTAGAATCTCCCGGCGCTGGGCGCTGATTGGCTGGGCACCTCAGGGACTTCTGGAATTTTCCGCTTCTCCCATTGGCTGCGAGCGGCGCTGGTCACAGAGGACGGGGAAGGGGGGGGGAAAGGAGGGCGAGGTGGAGACGAAGCGCGCCCCCTGGCGGCGCGGAGGTCTCGCTGGGAACGGACGCTCGCGGGGCGTGGCTTGCACAAAAGGGGCGTGGTTTGTATGAAAGGGGCGTGGTTTGCACTAAGGGGGCGTGGCTTGCACGGGGGACCCTCACCCGTGGCCTGGAGGAGAATCCCCGAGGTCCCTGGGGGGGAATGGGGGGGCCTCCGGGAGGCCCCAAGCTGGGGGGGGAGGTCGTGGCTGTCGGGGTCTGTCCACCCCCCAAAATCCCATTCCTGCACCAAATCTGCCGTTTTTTCCCCCCGCAAAAAGCCGCGGTGCCGAAAAAAAAAAAAAACCAAAAAACCCCCCAAAAAAAAACACCTTAAAAAATCCAAAACGCCCCTAAAAGTTTCCCCCGCAATGTCCTCAGAGCCGGGGCCCGGGAGGGGCCCCCCCTAAAACGGGCAGGGGGTGTCCCAAGAAAGAGGCCGCCCCCTCCCCCCCCCATCAGGCGGCGGGGGGCTCCAGGGCGGCCAGGCACACCCGGTACGGGGCCCGCGGCTGCAGCGCCCGCACCACGTACTCGCCGCGCTCGCCCCGCACCAAGGTCTCGGTGACGGCTCCGCCGCCGGGCCGCAGCCAGCTGAGCCGCAGCGACGCCCCGGGAGGAGCCGGCGGCCACCGCACCCGCAGGGCCCCGCCGGGAGCCGCCTGCACCCAGAGCCCCGGCGCGGCGGCGGCCGCTCCGCCCGGGCTCTCGCAGGCGTCCATCTCGCCCCGCAGCTCGCCCACCGGCAGCCCCCGCAGCCTGGCCGGCGCCTGGCACAGCAGCCCCCGCACCTCCAGGCGCGGCGGGGCGCGGCGCCGCAGCCAGTCCCGCAGCCAGGCCAGGTTGCAGCCGCAGAACCAGGGGTTGTTGCGCAGCCCCAGGTGGCTCAGGCTGCCCAGGTCGTCGAAGAGCCCCCTGGGCAGCGTGGTCAGGTTGTTGTCCGACAGGTCCAGCCTCTCCAGCGCCCTCATCCTGGCCAGCGCTCCGGCGGGCACGTGGCTGATGGCGTTGGCGGCCAGCGAGAGGCGGCGGAGCCGCGCTCGGGGCAGGTTGGCCGGCGGCGCCGCCAGCGCGTTCCGACCCAGCGACAGCTCGCTGAGGTTGCCCAGGCGGCTGAAGGTGTCGTCGGCCATGCGCTGGTTCGCCAGCAGGTTCCCGTCCAGCACCAGGCGCCGCAGCGCCGGCAGCCCCTCGAAGGCCCGCAGCGGGATGGTGTGGATGCGGTTGTCGTCCAGCCGCAGCTCCTCCAGCGCCGGCGGCAGCCCCGCGGGGACGCTGCTCAGGTGGTTGCGCGAGAGGAAGAGGAGGCGCAGCCGGCGGTTCTCGGCGAACGCGTCCTCCTCGATGCCGGCCGCCGACACCGAGTTATCGTCCAGGTGCAGGCGCTCGAGCAGCGGCGCCCGGGCCAGCGCCCGGCGGCAGAGCCCCCGCACGTTGTTCTCCTGCAGGTGCAGCTCCCGCAGCGCCGGCGGCAGGTGAGCCGGCAGCTGCTCCAGCGCGTTGGCGTACAGGTAAAGCACCCGCAGCGCCGGCAGCCGGCCCAGGCGAGCCGGGATGCCCGCGTCGCCGATGCGGTTGTTCTGCAGGAACAGCGTGGTGGCACCGGGCGGGAGCCCCTCGGGCACGGCCGTCAGCCCGCGGTCGTTGCAGTAGACGCGGCCGCCGGAGCAGCGGCACACGGCCGGGCAGGCCCGCGCGGGGCTCAGCGCCGCGAGGATGAGGATGGTGATGGTGGTGGTGGGGGTCGGCAGGCGGGGGGGTCCCCCCCGCGGTGCCCGGGCGACGGGAGGGACGGGGAGAGGGGGACCAGGACCCCCAGCCTGACCCCACAGAGAGGGCAGGGACCCCTCTGCACCCCCCATTAAAAGACCCCCCCCAAATACCTCCTGAAGCCCCCTCCCCGACCCCACACCCAGGCCAGGGACCCCCCAAAACCCCCCCGCGCCCCCATCCCGGGGGTCCCACCGCTCCAGGTGTTTGGGGCTGGGGTCTCACCTGGCTCCCCTCTCTCCGGGCGGGCTCCTGGTGCCAGGCCGTGCCTACCGGCCCCGGTGCTCCATGGCCCCCCCGCCCCGCCGGGGGGGCCGCTGCGGGGGTGGGGAGGGGGCGTCAGCCAT